CCCTTCCCGAGTGGTTTCCACCAGGGCGGCTGGTCACGCCTGCCGCGCAGGCCCCGCGTCCGTGGTGGCCGTAGCTACGTGCCGCCCCCGGGGCTCATGTCGTCAGCGAGGCTCCTCACGAGCCCAGACAGCTGCGGCTCGCCCGCAGCCAGCCCCGCCTGAGAGCGCCTGCCCATAGTGCGCCTGCCTGTGAGGAAGGCCCAGCGGTGGAAAGAGGGAGCAGGGGAGACGAGAACCACTTGTTCTAGTCATCATCCCCCACGGGAGACCAGTCACTCAGCCTCTGGCCCTGCTGAGACTGGAGGTGAAGGAGCCCCCCAGGCTCCTTATTCCCCGGTGAGGAGGGAGAAGGCGTTACCTTCCCTCTAAGGAGGCATGCTCAGGTTATTCTGAAATGTCTTGAGTGGAGTTTGACCTGACGCTACCTCTCACCAAATACCTCCCAGCTAGCCTCAGGTGCCCCAGAGCTCAGGCACCTGTCGATCCCCTCATCCAGAGAGGCAGCTGAAGTGTTTGTGCGTTGGCATCACCAACCTTTTCAGGGAGACACACACAGGAGCGTATGTGCAGTAGACAATTTTTAAGAGAAACCAGCATGAACCTGGCCCATCCAAAGTAATTTTAAATAAACCACAGCAGGAATGAGGAGGACCTTTTTATTAACAAGGGTTAAACAGACTCTTCAAATGCATTTGAGCAGACCACCATGTGTTTTGGTGCTTTCATAAGACAGAACAAATCTACACTAAGAGAGAAATGAGGGGTCTAAAGGCTCCTGACCGGATTAATAATCTTGGGAATAATCACATAATGATTCTTGCACTGCGTGTTGCCATAAACTAGAAACAAAGCATTAAGAAACACAAACTTACTGAACTGCAAGAAATTCTCTTTCTAAGGAACAAGGGTCTGCCAACCACTGCTGCTCTAAAATAACAAATATAGACAGGAAATGTTTTTAAAACCGGGGGGAAAAAAAAAAAAAAAAAAAAAAAAAAAAAAAGCTTTCTCAACAGATTTTTCACCTGGTTTGGGAAGTCCAAGTGTCACAATCCTCTTTCTGAAAAAAAAAAAAAAAACCAAAAAAACTGGGAAGCAGTTCAAACATGCCTACACCACTAGATAATTAATTTTGAAGGCAGAGGAAAACACAGTTTAAATCTATCATATATCATCTTTCGCAATACCGTTACAGAAAATACTTATTTAACTGATGTATCAGCTTAATACTGATACAGTAAACAGACATATCAGTTTAATACATCATCATTATTCAATGGCTTGCTTTTAATAAAGTAGTGCATGGAAAACGCTTCGTGCTTTCAGTTTATACTGCTTGTTTTATCCTTTTCTTAACGTATAAAAAATCAGACAAAAGGACCTAAACCCAGCATTTTTTGCAAATAGTGAATATTGATACCCAGGACAGTTCCTAAAATAGGGTGGGTAGACCCATTTCTAAAGACAACTGCTTTAAACAGCAGACATCACCCTTGTTTTTCAAGATAGCCCTGTATCAAGCCTTGAACCCGAGAAAGAATAATCTCATTGGAGCTGCTGCACTCTTCTGGGCCGTATGGTGGGTCAATAGTTAATACCCCCGCCACACATAGCGTTCTTCCCGATTCACCTTGCTCTGTTACAGGGATGTGGTTTGTTTCTAGCCAAGTCTTCAAGTTGTTCTTCCTCTTTTCAAGTTCCTCTGGGCTGTAGGCTTTGCTTTCTTCAGGTGCAAATATGCAGGAAAGCCGTTGCTTCATTTCATCGTCCCCTTCTTTCAGTATTTCAACCTCCTGGACAGCATGGCCCAAGACAATGGATATGGACACTTTTTCATTCTCCAGGAATGTTGCAAGGACAATACTGCCAAGGAAAGAAGTATGTATGAGTCACTGTACTTAACTGAAGACTGAGAAATGCAGGCCAAGATTCTTGGAGATGAGTGCTCATTAGCATCACCGTAACCCAGGTATTTAGGCAATATGGAGTACCCAGCATTTTTCTTGAAAAGCATGCTGCTATACCCTTAAAATACTGAAAATGCGGGGCTTTGCAGGTAACTTCTAGCCTTGAATTTGAAACTACTCTAGATACTATCAAGCAGAACGTTACTTTAAAAAAAGCAAAGTGTACATTAAAATCAGGACTGGGAATCTAAGTATTTTTGTGCAGCATTCCCAGCCTTGCTGAAGAACCTTAAATCTTCCAACATTCAAAAAGAACAATACCTTCATACATTCAGCACTTTGAATGCTGAAGGCAATGGTGGCAGCTGACAACAGCAGAACCTTTTAATGATGAATTATTAATACTTAGTTATTGATCATTACTAAAAGAATTATTTTAATGAGTGTTGCTAGTTTCTTAACTGAAAACTATAGCTTGATGTGCTGGGTTTGGCTAGGGTAGAATTAATTTTCTTCACCCTAGCTGGTATGGGGCTGTGTTTTGGATTTGTGCTGGAAACAGTGTTGATAACCTGGGGATGTTTTCGTCCCTGCTGAGCAGTGCTTACCCAGAGCCAAGGGCTGTTCTGCTCCTCACCCCACCCCACCAGCGAGCAGGCTGGGGGGGCACAAGGAGTTGGAGGGGACACAGCCGGGACAGCTGACCCCGACTGGCCAAAGGGATATCCCAGACCATAGGACGTCATGCTCTGTAATATAGAGCTGGGGGAAGAAGAAGGAGGCGAGGGGATATTTGGAGCGATGGCATTTGTCTTCCCAAGTCACCGTTACATGTGATGGAGCCCTGCTTTCCTGCAGATGGCTGAACACCTGCCTGCCCATGGGAAGTGGTGAATGAATTCCTTGCTTTGCTTGTGTGCGCAGCTTTTGCTTTACCTATTAAACTGTCTTTATCTCAGCCCACGAGTTTTCTCACTTTCATTCTTCTGATTCTCTTCCCCATCCCACCAGGGGGGAGTGAGCGAGTGGCTGTGTGGGGCTTAGTTGCTGGCTGGGGTTAAACCACAACACTTGACTATTACAATGGGAACACACCGCAGCAGGTTCTGGCTCATGTTATAGCAGCCTGGTCTTTTCCCAAGGGCACTTACATCCCAGAAGTCCTAAAATACAGGTAGGAAGGCAGCTTGTTGCCAGGATCTCTTCCCTATATGTCAACAAAGAGCATCTTCCCTCTTGTGGGAAGCAAAATTCCAGAATTTGATGCCAGCATTTTGCTAATCTACTGTTGCCACCATTAGTGGAAATAATGACTTTTTGGGAAATGTGCAATGAAATGTGCCTTGATGTTAGCCTGGGCCATCCCCAGAATCACTCACAGCTGTGCACACCTTTCCTACCAAAACAATAAGCAACTCCAAGAGAAGACAGAGTATCAGAGCTACTCCAGAGTTGAAGCAACAACCAATTCTTCTGAAACACATCAGAAGCTGGATGTTTTAGCTTCTAGCCTCCATCTTGTGCTCACAACCAAAAAGGTATGAAAAAGCTCTGGCAGCAAGGAGCCAAATTTCTGCCTATTCCCTGGTGCATTCTGCCTTTCAAACCCTGTTTTCAAGTTACTCACTTGAGATACTAGAGACCTGTCTTTCTGGACAATGACATCTGACTTTCTGTCCAATGCCCTTGCTGATTTTCCCTGCTTCTTCTCCAAAGCAGCCACTACACCCGCACGGGTGTCTAGCTGTAGGGGAAAGCAGGGCATCGATGCAAGAACTCTGGACAGAGGATAAGGATTTCAACACCTAAAGCATTAAAAACATTCCTGCATCCCTGCTCTCTTTGTGAGGCAGGTCTTGGTATATTATTAAAAATAGTCCTAAACGCATGGATATCATTTAAAGTACTAACCTCAGGTCCACAATAAAGTTAGCGTGAATCCACACGTTACCTATTCCCCAAATTTATCAGTCCTTTGAATGAGATTAAAGTGGGTTTAGGTGAACTGACCTCATCAGCTACAATATTACTTTCTCTTAGGCCTTGCCATTTAAAAAAACAGGACATGGAGCTCCAACATGCAGTTTTTGCTCCAAATAAGTTTGCTTCAGTCTTGTCATCTTTTATCTTCTGAAAAACTTGTTTTCTCTTATCCTTACAGAAGCAAAAGCTTTGTTTGGTACTTACCTGGCAGAAACTGGATCGACTGTTAAGACCCATCCTTCATACTCATGTTTCTCAATTGCAGCAACTTTCACCATTTTGTTCACGTACGTTTCCCAGTCTAGAGGGCTCTTCCTCTGCCAGTCATTCATATTGCCTACGTCCAGAACCTAGAAAACAGCCAGGGTGATTAGTAGAAGCAATGAATCCTTTTGCTTTGCCCTTCACATCAGAACTGAGTTTGCCTCCAGGTAAAGATCTTCCATCTGTCTTAAACACAATTTGCTTTTTATAAAAGCAAACATTCACACAAGTGGTTTGCATATTGCTGCAGCTCTGTAATTTCCCACTCAGTTCGTGTGTTTTTCGGGGCACACGGCACAGCCTCAAACATCACTCTTCTGCTAACTTAACACTTCCCCGTTGCATTAAACATTCCATTTATTGCTCTGCCCTCTTACAAAACCTTCGGGACGCCTGTCCCTCGAGGACAGAAGTTTACCGGCTTTGCTCTGCGTACCGGCACATCCCCCGTGCCCAAGCCCTTCCACCGCCTGCGGAGAAGCGGCGTCCGCCCGCATCCCGGCTCTATCCTCACCCCCGACGGCAGGGCGAGCACCAAGTGCCGTTACCCTCCTCACCCCGCACCAGTTGCGCGACTGGTAAGGACGGTAAAGCCACCCCGGCCCCAGCCTGGGGCCACCCGGGCATTCGCCTCCATCCCAGCACCCCTCGCCGGAGAGAGATGGGGGCAGCGCAGGGCGGGAGGCCGAAGGGCCGGAGGAAGCTC